CATCAGTAAAGGCTCCAGAGACCTCAATGGTGACAGCTCCAGCTGCCACCACATCCACAGGGGCCTCTGCTGCTAGGCAGAATGCCCCTGAAGCAAAGGCTCAGGTACATCCTTTGCACAGGCAGAGGAATTCTGAGCCCATTCAAAAGACTCCTCATAGAGTCGGGTCTTTGGAGTCACCAGGCAGGGCTCCAGAGGCCACCACATCCACAGGGGCCTCTGCTGCTAAACAGAATACCCCTGAACCAAAGGCTCAGGTCCGTCCTTTGCCCAAGCAAAGAAATCCTGAGCCTATCCAAAGGAAGCCTGTGGAAACTAGTTCCACAGGTAAACAAACCATCAAAAGGTTTTCCCAAGATGCTGGAAAGGGACTGCCTAAAGGTGTGGGGCGGACCTTAACCACAGGTGCTGCCAAACACCTTATGAAGTAGCTTGTCAGCCTGAAGAACTGGATACCCTAATCCAATGGAATTGTCAGGGAATTCATGCAAAATGGGAAGAACTGCAACATCTGATAGCTTCTTGTAATCCAGTTTGTGTATGCCTACAAGAGATTATGACCAGGGAAAATCGTCCAATTTCCCTGAGAGGATTCCAAGTTCAAGCCCATTATGGGGTCTTTGATAATGGACCTCATGGAGGAGTAGCAGTGATGGTACGTCAGGATATTCCCTTCCAGGCCATCCACCTGCAGATGACACTGCAGGTGAAGGCCATGAGAATAGGCTTGACACGACCTTACGCTGTTGCATCCCTCTACCTCCCTCTACATAATCTCTACACAGATGATTTGTAAGATTTACTTGGGCAGTTGCCTCATCCATTTCTACTCTTGGGAGACTTCAATGGTCCCCATCACCTTGTTCTCAAGAGTAGATGCAGTTTTACTGAACAGTGATGCACCCACACATTTCCAAATTCAAACTGGGACATTCTCTAATATTCTCTACCTGTCAGTTGGTTCACCTGATTCACATTTGAATTTCACTTGGCAGGTCATGGAAGTGACCACTTTCCAATACTTTTGGAAGAGGTGAATGGCATTCCAGCCAATGGAGTGCAGAGATGGCGACTTGAACATGCAGACTGGAATCTTTTTAGATCAACTGCAGTATTGCAAGGATCTGTGAATGATTTCCACTGTGTTCAAGATGCTGTTAATCACTTCACATCGCGGATTCACTTTGCAGCAGAAGCATCAATTCCCAGGGGGCAGTACCGTCGACCTCCGGTACCATGGTGGTCTGATGAATGCCAACAAGCTGTCAGAGCAAGAAAAGCTGCATTAAGGCAGTTGAAAAGATGCCCAAGCGATGTAACCTTGATCCAATACAAAAAGACCAGAGCAAAGGCCAGGCGAGTGCTAAAGGAGGCTAGACGGACATCGTGGAGTCAGTATGTCTCCTTGATTAACTCTGGGACCCCCTTAGCATGGGTATGGGACAAGGTGTGTAAGACCGCTGGAAAGAGCACATCCATATCACCACCTGCTCTGAAAATGGATGGCATAATCCTCACAGACAAAACAGATGTTGCAAATTAGCTGGCGAAATCCATGGCAGAGATCTCCTCTGAAGCATATTACACTGCCCGATTCTCCACTCTTCGGGCTGAACAGGAACGACACCCAGTGTCGTTCTTCAGTAGCAGAACTTCCATACAACTTGTCATTTTTGTGCAAGGAGATGGACTCTGCTTTGCAGCTCTGCCGTAAGACTGCCCCAGGAAGTGACGGTATTCCATACCAAATGATATCTCACTCACCGGAGAGCTTCCAAACGTTCCTGTTGGATCTATTCAATAGGATCTACAGGGAGGGAACAGTGCCATCCACATGGAAAGATACCAGGGAATTATAGACCAATTTCTCTCACCAGTTGTATCTGCAAGTTGATGGAGAAAATGGTAAACTTCAGGTTGACATGGCTGCTAGAAAAAGAAAACGTGCTGACCCCATATCAATATGGGTTTGGAAAACTGAGATCGACCACAGATGCACTTGTGAGGATGGAAACTGCTATACAGAATTCCTTCACACAACGACGCCTTATGTTAGCAGTCTTCTTTGACCTTGAAAAGGCTTATGATATGACTTGGAAGCATGGGATACTCATGAAGCTGTATGACATTGGATTAAGAGGAGTATTGCCAACCTTCATACAAAGCTTCCTTGCTAACAGGAAGTTTAGAGTGAGGGTAGGAAACAGCTTCTCTAACCTGGAAGATCAGCTGAAGGAGTCCCACAAGGGAGCGTCTTAAGTGTGACCCAGGGCTTACATGGGTGCCTCACATGTGGGTTCTTTCACACCTATCCTGGGGTGCAGACCGCACAACGCTTCTGCGACTTTACCGAGCACTTATTCGTAGTAAACTTGACTATGGATGTGAAGCTTATTCATCTGCAACTCCCACTGTTCTCCGGATGTTGGACTCGGTTCATAATGAAGCTCTGAGAATTTGTATAGGGGCTTTCAGGTCTTCACCTGTAGAGTCCCTGTAT